TGGGGTCGCACAGAGTCAGACACGACTGAAGTGCTTAGCAGTTCTTCTTTGAGGGGCTTGCAATGTTTAAAGTTTATTTTTCTCACTGGTGCTTTTTGGGCTTATTAGGTGCTTTTCTGCTTCATCCCTTTGGTTCCACCTTAGCCCTGTTTTTCTGTTTATCAACTTCTCCAGTATTCTGGTTGTTAGAGTCTTCTTTTAGTTCTCCTGAACAATGGTTTCTTTACTTGACTTTTTCAGTAACATTTTAGAGCTGAAGAAACTTCGACTTTCTTGGGATTGAGAAAGACATTGGTTTTCTTTTTCTGTTTTATTAACTTTATTCTTACTTTTACTTGTGAATTTATCATATGGAGAACTGTTTTATACACATTTTGAGATATAATGTCTATAGTATTGGAACATCAGAGAGAAATGAGATAATCCTATTTTGCAAGTTATTAATATATGTATAATTATGTGTGCATATTATGTATGTATTTAGAGTGAAAAGGAAAAGGGAAAAAAGAAAGGCAGGTATGACTGCTCAGTTATTTTCTGGTGATTTTATTCAATAGTATAATACATTTTAAGTTTAAACAATATAATACATTTTAATTAATATACATTAAAATTTATTCAGTATTATAATGAATTTCCCACATTGAATTTCAAATAATATTTATTTGTAAAAGAAAAAAATGAAATGATACTAAATGAATCTCATAGAAATGAAGCAGATATATATATCATTCCTTTATTGTTTTATTCGCCTTTCTTAGATGTGTTTATTGAAAACATTTATCATGTGAATTAAGTATACTCATCAGTCATTTCTCTGAGGAACATTTCGTTCAAATGTAGAACGTACTTACCCTTAAGCAAGGTAACATGGCTATTTTCAGCATTGTAGTATTTTTCGTTCCTCCTCCTGTCTATTTTGATGGTCCAGTGATTAAGACTCTTCACTTTCACTGAAGGGGGTGCCAGTTCAATCCCTGGTTGGGGAACTAAGATCCCATATGCAGTGCAGCCTGGCCAAAAGAATTTGGGCTTCCCATGTGGCTCAGCTGGTAAAGAATCCACCTGCAGTGAGGGAGACATGGGTTTGATACCTGGGTTGGAAAGATCCCCTGGAGAAGGGAAAGGCTACCCACTCCAGTAATGTGGCCTGGAGAATTCCATGGTTTATATAGTCCATGGGTTTGCAAAGAGTCTGACACAACTGAGCAACTTTCACTTATGCTTCCCTGATGGCCCAGACGGTAAAGCGTCTGCCTGCGATGCAGGAGACCCAGGTTCGACCCCTGGATAGGGAAGATTCCCTGGAGAAGGAAATGGCAACCCACTCCAGTATCCTTGCCTGGAGAATCCCACGGACAGAGGAGCCTGGTGGGCTGCTGTCCACGGGGTCGCTACTGTCACCATGGCTCTGACATATTTTAATCCAACTTAATAACCCAGAAACACTTGCTTTTTTTTTTTTTAATATGAAACAACTGTCATTTTTTAAATTTGCTCATGAAAAACAAGTAGACTTCCTAGACGGCAAATTTAATGGGGAGTTGAGACAAATTCCACAACACAGGAGAGATTTGAAGTTTTAATGTCAAGCATCTTTTATTTGCTTTAATAAAAAAAAAAATGGACTTGTCTACTGGGAAGATCTGTGAAAGGAGAATATGGAAATCATCGCTTCCAGACGCTAACATTAGTTCCATTTTCCAAAGAGGGAAAAAATTGTTCATTTCCGTGGAAGTCTTCATTCACATAGAACTATTTACTTATCCCCTCTTGAAAGGTAAAATGAATGATTTCAGTTTCAGAAAAAAAAATAAGGAAAATTTACTACAATCTGAAAGCATAAATTATAATACAAGGCAAGGGGGTTATTAATGAAAACAGTTCGAGGAAGCAAACTGAATAAACATGATCTCAATCTAGAAAAAAAATCCTGACTCATGAGACCAAAAGTGGTCAATTTTGATGAGCTCCCCACATCTCCGGAGGAAGGAAAGGGGGCCAGAGCAGCAGGTACTGATCAAACCAGAATTNTTTCTCATGATGTACTCTGCATGTATGTTAAATAAGCATGGTGACAACATACAGCCTTGACATACTCCTTTTCCTATTTGGAACCAGTCTGTTGTTCCATGTCCAGTTCTAACTGTTGCTTCCTGACCTGCATACAGGCTTCTCAAGAGACAGATCAGGTGGTCTGGTATTCCCATGTCTTTATAGTTCTACTCATATATGAATTTATATAACTGTCACAAAAATCAAGAAATAGAAATATTGTATCACCTAAAGGCCCTTTATGATAAACTTTATGACCACATACAATGCTTCCCCCTTCCAATTCCACTAAAATTATGCATACTGGTCTTTAATGTTATTACATATTAATGTAATAAAAAAATCTAGAGCAAGAGCTTTGAAAAACTATGGAAAAGATACACTAAAAAACACTATGAATAAGTAAAAATGGAATTCTAAAAATATTTAAGTAATGCATAGAAAGGCAGGAAAAAGAAAACAGAAAACTGGAGGGATAAAAACTGAAACAACTGTCGGAGAAAAAAAAAAAGAAAATGGGACTTAAGTCCTCACATAAGTAATTACATTAAATGTAGACAATCCTAGTATATCACTTAAGGAAAGTGATTGCCAAATGCATAAAAGATAAGCAAACAAACAAACAAACACCCCATGAAAAGCTATTAACCAGTTGCCTGTGTCGTGAAGAGTGGGTGAGGGACTATCAAGGGCAGGCGAAAGCTTTCTATGGCAACAGATGTATTTACTGTCTTGACTGTGATGATAGTTTCATGAATGTATGCATATGTTAAAACTTATGCAAATATATGTTTATATATGTGTGGTTTACTGTATTTCAGTTATACTTGAACAAAGCTGTTTAATTATGGAATATTGCCACATATTCCTGACCTTGACCTGTGTATCTTTAACATATTTACCAGTATATTTTTTAATGAAGGCATAGAAATATTGTTTAGGAAAACACAATATAAAAATGGAGGTATAGCTTACATAATGTTTATAACATTGAAAACAAAACATGACACTATATCTCTATTTTCAATCCTAATGTATTTTTCTATAGTTTCTTTTATTCTAATCTAAGTGATGATCATTATACCTTTCTTTCATGTTATATGTCTTTGACAGTTTTCCTTTGTCCTCAATCTTCACAGATGCTTTACCTCTTTTTTAATTTGAAAGATCAAACACCAAAAATGGACTTCTCTTCCTCCTATCTGCCGTCAATCAATAAATAAAATTTTGCTATTCTTGAATCTATTTCATGTCCTATTTTTTTTTTCACAATGGATGAAGCCAAGTAGCAATTAATACCTCCATGTGTGCTATAGATCCCATCCTGTCCTTCACCACCTCAACAACTTCAACACATCAAATGATCTTTTTATTATTCTTTGGAAATCTTTACTGTTAAATATATCCTTGGCATTACAATATTCCCTAAACAGTATGTGTATTTATATCATCTGTTCATCTCCCTAAGGACATTTAGGTTGCCTCCATGTCTTGACTGTTGCAAATAGTGCTGCTGTGAACATTGAGCTGCATTTATCTTTTTATGATTAGAGTTTCCTCCAGATACATGCCCAGGAGAGGGATTGCTGGATCATATGACAACTCTACTTTTAGTTTTTTATGGACTGTCCGTATTGTTTTTTATAGTAACTGCACCAGTTGACATTCCCACCAGTATTGCTGGAAATTTCCCTTTTCTCCACACCCTCTCCACCATTTATTGTTTGTGGACTTTTTAATGATGGCTGTTCTAAATAGAATGAGGTGACATCTCATTGTATCTTTGATTTGCATTTCTTTGATAATTCATGATGTTAAGCATCTTTTCATGTTTTATTGGCTTTATTCATATCTTCTTTGGAAAAATGTGTATTTAGGTCTTTTGATAATATCTTGAATTGAGGTGTTCATTTTGTCGTTGTTGTTGAGTTGTACAAGCTGTCTGTATATTTTGGAAATTAAGCCCATGTCATTCCCATGATGTGTAAATATTTTCTGCCAGTCCGTTGACTTTTTTTTCACTTTTTTATGATTTTCTTTGCTGTGCAAAAGCTCATTAAAAGTTTTATTAGGTCCAGTTTGTTTATTTTGCTTTTATTTTTATGCCTTGGGAGACTAACCTAAGAAAATATTTGTAAGATTTATGTCAGAAAATGTTTTGTCTATGTTCTCATCTAGGAGAGTTATGGTGTTCTGCCTTTTATTTAAGTCTTTAAACAATTTTGAGTTCATTTGCTGTGTATGGTGTGAGGATGTGTTCCAGCTTCATTGATTTCCATGGGACCGTTCAGCTTTCCCATCACCACTTGGTGAAGAAACTTTCTTTTCTCCTTGTATATTCTTGTGTCCTTTGTTGACGTTTAAATGACCAGAGGTGTATGGGCTTATTTTGGGGCTTTCTTATTTTGCTCCATTGATCCATATGTCTCTTTTGTTCCAGTATCACACTGTTTTGATCATTGTAGCTTTATGGTATTATCTGAAGTGTGAGAGGGTTATACCTCCAATTTTGTCCTTTTTCACCAGGATTGCTCAGGCAATTCTGGATCTTTTGTAATTCCATATAAATTTTAGGATTCTTTGTTCTAGTCCTATGAAAAATATCATGGGTAATTTGATACAGACTGCATTAAATCTATAGATTGTTTTGGGTAGTGTGGCCATTTTAACAATATAAATTCTTCCAATCCAAGAGCATGTGATATCTTTCCATTTTTTGGAATCATTTTCAGCTTCATTTATTAATAATTTATAGTTAGCATATGTTTTTCACCTCCTCTATCAGGTTTATCCCTTGAGTATTTTTTGATACCATTTTAAAAGGAATTTTTAAAAAACTCATTTTCTGATATTTTATTATTAGGGTAAAGTAATGCTCTCAATTTCTGTAGGTTAGTCTTTTATCCTGCTATCTTGCTGAATTTGTTTATCAGTAGTAGTGGATTTTGTGTGGAATCGTTAGGGTTTTCTATATATAGTACCATGTCATCTGCATATAATGACATGTAATTCCCTTCCAATTTGGATACCTTTTTTTTCTTTTTTTGTCTGATTGCTGTGGGAAGGACTTCCAATACTATATTGAAAAGAAGTGAGAGTGGGCATCTTTGTCTTGTTCCAGATTTTACTGGGAAAGTTTTCAAGTTTTCACTGTTGAGTATTATGTTGGTTTTGTGTTTGTCATAAACAGATTTCATTATTTTGAGATATGTTCTGTCTATACCCACTTTGGTAAGAGTTATTTTTTATTATGAATGGATGTTAAATTTTATTTAATGCTTTTTCTGCATTTATTGAGATAATTGTGTAGTATTTATCCTTTCTTTTCTTGATATGGTGTTTCACACTGACAGACTTGTGTATGTTGAACCATCCTTGTGACTCTTGGATAAATCCAGCTCGGTTGTGGTATATGACCAATTTTATGTGTTGTTGGATTCAATTTGCTAATATTTTGTTGAGAATTTTTGTGTCTATATTCATCAAAGATATTGACCTGTAATTTTCTTTGGGATAGTGTCTTTATCTTTTTTTTTTTAAATCAGAGTGATAGTTTCATAGAATGATTTGGAGAGTGTTCTGGTCTATTCAGTCATTTGGAAGAGTTTGAGAAGGACTGGTATAAGTTCTTCCCTGTTTTACAGGGATTCAATCCTGTTTTTACAAGATTCAATTTCACTTCTAGTGATAGGTATCTTAAAATTATCTATTTATTCTTCATTCAATTTTTGTGGATTGTATGGAGAAGGACATGACACCCATTCAAGTACTCTTGCTTGGCAAACCCTATGGACAGAGGAGCCTGTTGGGCTACAGTCCATGGGGTCGCAAAGAGTTGGACACAGCTGAGCGACTTGACTTCAGTTCATGTTTCTAGAAACTTGTTTGTTTCCTCTAGGTTGTTCAATTTGATGGCGTATAATTGTTCATAGTTCTGGTTTTGAATATTTATGCAATATGTTGTCTTTCTCTCTTTAATTTATTGTTTTGTTTATCTGGGTCCTCACTCTTTTCTTCTTGGTAAAACTGGCCAGAAGAAGTTTGGCAATATTGTTTACCCTTTATAGTCTCAAATACATCCTAAAAACTTCTACATTTTTACACCCCTCCTTCACATTTTATGATTTTCATATCCTCTTTTATATCTTCATATTTATCCTTTTGCTGTTGATTGAGGGTTCCTTCTTTATTTTTTTCATACTGTCTTTAGAATGCCTTTCATACTGCCTTTTTTTCATACTGC